ACTGAGCTTCTCCAGGGTGTCCAGTATTGTGCTGGGCCTTCTGGGGGTCAGAACAATTCCCCTCTCTCCAGAAGCTTATTGTCTATTGGGGAAAATAAGATGTATCTACATGAACTAGTTGAAAAAGAAGGTGACTTTATATTTATGGGGGCTTCCAGTAAATGCCATTCCAGTTGGGAAAGAGCTTGAAGTCAGAGAAGGAAAAGAAATGCTGGCTGGTTTGAAACTAACTTGTAAGCACAGTGACCACGGACGGCAAGCAGGAACCAAGGGAAACCGCCCACTACGCAGAGGCATATGTCATCTTGAAGTCCATGGAGGGGAAGAAGAGCCACAGAGAGCGCAGATGAAGGAAACCTGGAAGAAGGATTACAGGATAGATGAATGACTTCAGGAGTGGGAAGCAGAAGACTTGAGTCCTAAAAATAATTCTGTCCCTCTCGGTCTGGTCTTGAGCAAGGATTTAGACTTCACCTCTTGGCTTACAGCATTCTTGCTAATAAAGTAGAGAAAACATTGGTCTCCTTCCTAAGGAAACAAAAATGTATTACAATGGTTATGACTAATTTGGCTCTATTTGGGAAGGAATCACGTCTGTACCGCAGAGAGTTGGGCTGTGCTTAGAACCTCTCCGGGGTCTTACGCTGCTTTGTAATAAGCTTGGGGCCCTTTGAATGTTCTTGTTTCTTTATTCCCCTCACTTTTCTTCCTTTTTTCTTTTCTTTCTTACCTTTATAACTTTAAGAACATGACGCTTTTCTGAAGAAGTTTTATGCCTGCAAATGGCAAATAAGTAGCATAGAAGAGTATACAGTGAAAAATAGGTTTGCTTTTCACTCCTAACGTCTTTCCCTCCTGGGCACCTGCTGGTACCAGTTTCTTCTATACACTTGTAGAGAGCAGTCTGTTAGGTGCTTCAAGTCGGTTCTGACGCATAGCGACCCTGTGTGCAACAGGACAGAGCACTGCACCATCACAGTCCTTGCCACGTTTGAGCCCATTGTTGCAGTCACTGTATCAATCCATCTTGTTGAGGGTCTTCCTCTTTTTCAATGACCCTCTACATAGACCACAGAGAGTTCAATATACATATCAGCCTCTCAAAATGTCTCCCTCCCTTGCCCCCACCCCCACCCCCAACAAATTGGGGTAATACCTGTTCTGTGCTTTGTTTTTCTCCTATTTAACAATAAATCTTGGGAATCTCCCCCAAATCAGCACATATACAACTCCCTGACTTAACAGCTGTGTGGCACTCCACTGTTGGATATGCCACAACCTCCTTACCAGTTCCCAAGGCCCTGGTTCCTAAGGCACTAAGTCTCTTAACAGTGAAAGGCCCCGCCCTTGTCATTCATGGTCGGCACACATGTTGGTGGCACCTGCTGTGTATCGATGCAGTGCTAGGTGCTGCGACGAGGAGGGAGGCAGAGCTCCATCCCTCGGGAGCTGAGGCTCGTGGTGGAGATGGGCATTTAGAGAAAGAGCAAAGTTCTGTAACAGATCTGTGTGTACACGGGGTTGTGGGGGCCCTTCCTGGGACTCTGCTTCTCCTGGGTTCAACTTCAATGCCAAGGTGGAAGGTGAAAACAGCTGCCCTCCAGAAGGCGGCTCTAGCTAAGGGAAAGGAGCGCTTCCAGTCAGGGCAGGACATCCTGTAGGAAGGAAATAAAAAACAAAAACCCTGATTCAAAGACATTACAGATAGAGCATGGGAGAGACTCACAACACCTGTAGAATCTAGGTGAGTCACTTACAGCCTGATTGCTCCTTCTGTGCAAATGTCCTTCAAGCTGGGCCTTCCTACATCAGCTACGCCTATGTTTTCTCCTCTTTAAAAAAAAAAAATCCATGAAGTTTGAATATACATTGAGTTAATTGTGGACTTTGACACTAATCAGACAAGCATTTTAATCATCTGAGTTAATTATTACTGTGCATCTAGACGGGGTGGATGGAAGAAGCAGGGGCTGCTGTGAGGATTTCAAGAGCTATCTATGTGAAGTGATTATATATGCATGCCTGGCACATGAAAAGCAGCGTGTCAGTCTTAGCTATTATTATTTTTATTATTTGCCCAACAAATGCTCCTGACGGGGGTCTAGGGGGCTATCTTAGTATGGATTGGTGTGATAAGATTTCTTCCATAACACTTGACTAGGAGAAATGGAAAGAATATGGGAGTTCAAATGGAGTGGATGAAGGGGTCGGGGGGTGACACGGTGCTAAGGGGAGGGTTATATAGCAAAGGCAGGGGTTCCTATGGGATGGGGGGAAATGCGGCCAGAAAAGGAAGGTGACCATTGGCAAAATTCACCTACTTCCAAATGTTTTCTGCCTTCCTTAGGGCTGAACCTGACAGAATTTCCCCCTCCCCATTCCCCTACTGCACCCCCACACAGTCACCCTCCTGGCACCCCTAAACGGGCTTTCCCTCCCTTTCCTTGGGCCTTGTTTCACCTGGAAAGGAGAAGTGAAATCTGAATCAGGGTGAGCCTGTCACAGGGTGACTCCAGACCTCTGCAGGGATGAGCCCAGGATTCAGAGGGGCAGCAAATCTTTCCCTGGAGGTGCTGTCCTCTAGGCGTGGTCAGACACGAAGGCAGAGCTACTGAAACTATGCCTTTTCCCAGGAAAAACAAGTGCCTGCCGTTATTATCATTCCTGTCTTACAGACGAGGGGCCCGAGGCTGGAGAGGTTAAGGCATTCGATCAAACCCACCAGCCAGTACAGGGTCAGAGCGGGACTTTAACCCAGGTTCGTGGGACTCCCACGCTCTTTCTAGGACAGCTCCACACCGAGGAAGTCAGAGACCTCAGAACGGGAGCCTTGGCAGTACCAGAAGGCGGCCGCTGTGTCCCGGGAGGGATGGATATCAGTCTAGAAAGACGGCCGGGAGTGGCGAGATCAAATCCATGAGACTGCGGAATGGTGTAGAAGTCGTGTTGAGACAACGTGGAGGGCAGACTGGGTGGAAGCAAGAGCCTTAGCCAATTCTTAAGTCCCACCCCCTGCCGCCCCCTGCCGCCCCCTGCCGCCCACTGCCGCCCATTGCCACCCACTGCCTTTGTTCCCGCCTCCCAGTCCCCCTGCTGTCCTTCCGCCCCCTCGCCCTCCTCATAATTGTACCTCACGGTTGACCAGCCCTTTGTTTACACAGCAGTCTCCGGATGGTGCAAACGGTAAATGTCCTCTGCTGCTAAAGGCAAGATTGGAGATTTGAGTCCACCCAGAGAAACGCACGTGGAAAAGAAAGGCCTGGTGATCAGCTTCCAAAAAAGTAGCCACTGAAAACCTTGTGGAGCACAGTTCTACTATGATACACATGGGGTCACCATGAATCGACATCGACTGGACCGGCAACTGGGTTGGGATTTGTTTTTGTTTATACAACTCTTACACATTAGTTTAAGAATGCCAGGTGGAACCTGAAAGGAGTAGCCGCCAGTCGTAGCCCCTGCCACTCTGGGATTTAGCCAGAAGACTTAATTTTGCCGCCCTGAATTCAGGCTAGCTCACCGCGGGGTCCAGAGCCCTACGAAGTGCTCCCTGCTCGCCTTGCAATCTGCACACTGACGTCTAGGTGGCGCCAAAACCTCAGACTGATTCCCCTGAGGTGCCGAAGCCGACGCCCTGGGACAGAGCTGTCCCCTCTCAGTCCTTCCTTCTCAGTCCACCTGGGCGCTTGCTTAGCTCTCAAGGTTCGGTTACTCCGAACTCCAAGTACAAACGGGCTGCAGCCTTTCTGGAGCTGCAAACCTGTACTCGCTATTTCTTCCTTTCTTTATCCCGTTCTATGGTCCCTGACCTCCTTGTTGGGGACAGGTAAGTGGGTTGGCCTGCTTCCGCTCATGTGTGCCTCAGAGACATCCCAACAAGTACTGCATCTGTTCTTAATATGTAAAAATATTTACTGAAGCCACTCCCGAAGTCCACCTTTCAGCCAAAGATTAGACAGGCGTATAAACAAACACACGTGAGGAACATGCTTCGTAGTTCAATCAAGTATAGGAGACCAAATGGGCAACACCTGGCCAAAAGCAAAGAGGAGCAGGCAGGAAGGGGCAGGAAAGGACACGGGAACCTGGGGCGGAATGGGGGAGAGTGCTGACACGTAGCGGGGATTGCAAACAATGTCACAAAACAGTTTGTATAAATTTTCCAATGAGAGACTAATTGTGCTGTAAACTTTCGCCTAAAGCACAATAGAAAAATGTTTTTATTAAAAAATGTATTTTTAGAGAAAAGGTAAGATAACATTAAGTTCATTTTTAAACACATTTTTCAAAGTTATCAAATCAATGTATGCATATGGTTCACACAATGGGCTCTTATGGAACCCCGTCAGACAATTAAAATATTGTAACTCCATCCACTGGTCCCGACACCACAGGCGTATATTTTCGCAGATCACGGCCCATGCTGTTTTGATACTGCTTTGAACCGTTGCTGATTAACAAAATGAGGGGGCGGGAGGGGGAAACTCTTCATTCATTCACTTCTTCTATGAGTATTGATTGCTTGCCACTAGGTCAAGCCCTGTCAGAGGCCCAGGGATGGACAGGAATTAGGCAAGGTCCCTCTGGCTGAGCGCACATTCTAGCGGTGGAGCCAGATAAATGCCTAATGGAATGTCAGGTGCTGTTAAGTCCTATGAAGAAAAACAAAGCAGGATTCTGGATCAGGGTGACGGGTTGGTGTCGGTGATCAGGAAAGACGCGTCTAAGGAGGTGGTATTGAGCAGAAACCTAAATAAAATATGAGGAGCAATTCGTAAGGGAAAAAATATACCTCTTAGTTTTGGGGAACCGACACCCATCCCATGGAAATTTAAAGAGCAGGGCATGTGGGTGGGGGGAATGACCTTCACCCCGTACTCTGGATGTCACGCCCGCGCGGGCAGGGTGGGGCGCCACCCCTTGGCCCGGCCTCCCTACCCCACCGTGCAGCCCCTCCCAGCCGAACGCACCCAGGCGGCCACCCACCCTCTCCAGGAGGAAAGCGGAGCCGCGGCCGCGGTGAAACATAAAGTTTATTCAGTTCAAAGTGACGCAAAAATTCTTAAAGAGCTCTTTGGCGGCGGATATCTAGAGAGAGATCAGACCATGTGAGAGGCCGAGAGTACAAATACGCCCGCTCGGGCGCAAGCTCCGGCAGAGGCAGCGTCCGCCCCCCAGTGCCTCGAGGGCGCGCGGGTCGCCCAGCCTCCGAGAGCTCCGGGGACCGGCCCTCCAGTCTGCTTCCCAGTCGGTGGGTTCGCTTTTCTTTGTTGCTGCTAATCCGCACTTCTTTACAGAACTTCTTGCCGCGGGCGGTCTGCAGGGGAACTGTCAGCCCGGCTCTGCTTACGTCAAGCCACTGGAGAGGGGCTGTCTGCGCGCCCGGGAGGCGCGTTCCTGTCTCCTGCAACTCTCTGTAGTGAGTGTTGACAGCATATTAGCCAGAGGGAAAAGATGAAAGTTGAGTGAAGAAAGGGATTATTTAGGGCTCTGGAGGGCTTGTTTTCTATGGCACCGGGGACTTTGTGATGTCTCGCACCTTGCCAAGATGATCCTAAGCCAAAGTGCTGTTCCTGTGCTTTAGGAAGTTGATTTCATTTCAACCCTTGTTTTCTGTGTGATCTTTACTTGCTGCAGTCCCGTGCAGGTGGCTTTATGCAAAGCCGGTTCTGTGGGGGGAGTTGTGTTTGACATAAATGCTCAAATAATTAGAGAAATCTCTGAGCGACCCTTAAGTGGGACGAGTCCCCTAGCGCTAGGATGGTTTTCACCCGCAGAGATGTTGCGCGCGCAGACTCTTCAAAGACAATTCAGAATTTATGTGAAACTCAAACTCCATTGGGCTGGTTTACATGGTTGAAGTGTATAACCATCAATTGCTTGAAAAATGTGTACATTCAATTGCGTTTTTGAAAAAGCTCTCTGCAGCTAAGTAACACTAAGGAGCTGATTTCCTGGATCTTTTGCATGTTGAATTGTTTCTTTTCCAGTTGGAGTTCTAAAGAAAGGGGTAGAATTTCTAAGAGTCAGACATTTCCAGGTCTTGTGTGTATGTATTTTTATGATCAATTTTGTCCAGAAAAGTGAACCAGGTCAATGGATTATTTATGAGTCTGCTAGCTCCCATCATAGTATGAAGAGATCACATATTTAATGTGTTTTGTCTTCAGTTACATAGGGAAAATGTCTAAGAAAGCAACCTTGGGATTTGTGTTTAATGAAACAGAGAAGAGCTATGGGAGGTATTAGTGTTTGGGTTTTTAGCGGTGGAGGGAAATATGCAGCTTTGACTCTTTGTCCGATTATTAGCTTTTGTGGGGAGCCATGGATGCCCAAAGATTCGAGTTTCCTACCATAAACTCTGGGCTAGGAGTGGCTGTTTCCAGCATGGATGAGAGGCAAGTGTTTATGATGGGGCTTGTGCAAATTAAGAAAACCCTTTGGGCATTTTTTTTTTTTTTAATCACTGAACCTGAATAAGAGCTGATTGAGGCTGCATTACAATTAATCGAAAGTCCCTTCACAACTCTAGTGACCCATCTAGGACATTTCAGAGATGTAATTACCAGCACCAATATTCAAATCCATTCCTTTCGGTCTCCTTGTTTAAGACATATATATACACATACTAGGGGTGGGTCTCAGGGGTGGGCAGGACAGAATAGTGTTGACATTTTAATGGAATTGCCAAGACCTCAGACATTCCTCTTTGGGGCATCTTGAGAGTCATCTGAACATTTCGATGAAACTCAGAGAGGCATGTCGAAGAGTTTCCCATGTGGGTGAAGTGACTGGAATAGAAGTACTTGGCTGCAGGGGGTTAGGAGCGTCTGTTGGGCTGTCTCTTACAGTGGGTTTGCAAAAACACCCTGGGCGTCCACCCACCAAAGAGAAGCTGGGTAGTTGCAGAAATGAAGTCAGTAAGTGGCAGTTCCTGCTCCTGCTTCATACTCATCAAGTGATAATCTGAGAGAACACAGGCAGGGCTTCCTGAAGTTTAATTTTAATAAGACTTAATGAATCAACAGGATACGGTCATGACTTGACTTTTTTTCAGAAGACGCCTGGATGACCAAAGGGAAAATTACGCAGTCGATGTTTGCTTGAGAAGATAACTCACACTTTCGTTTTTCTTAGTTATACATGGGCTCTTCTGATGGTCCTCAGTTCTAAATGGGGGCGGGGTGGGGCTGTAGAAAAACATGATGTGCAAGTCCCCTCCAACTCACTCCGTAAGCAAACTTGAGCTGAAATGATGGTGGAAAATGCCTGATGGCCGGAACTTTCTATCCAGATGTTACCGTCAAGTTGGTCCTCTGAGGATCCCCCCCAACCCGTGGTTTCACTCCAAGCCAGAGAGCTGGCCCACTCTACCATGTGAAGTTAAGTCCTGCAACTCAACCAACAGGGGCCCAAGCTCCCTGACTCCCTGAATGCCCCTTGCAGAATGTCCAGGATGGGTGCAGCAGAAATGGCCTCCAGGCAATGCAAGTTTGGGCTGTGCCATTTCCTTTCCAGTCACTGAGCTGTTGCCAATAGGTGACACTCACCTGAGGTTTGTGGGGTTCCATGGAACAGGCTTGGGTGTGCAGTCAAACATCTGATCAAAGCGCCATACCGGGAGCAAGCGATACTGACCCACCCTGCTCTTGTGGGGAATTGGTTTCTGGGCTTAACTGAGCAAAATAACACCCTAAGGAAAGAAAACCATCATCTTTCTAGGAGGGACCCAGGTGCAAAATATATGAAACTAGTTTTTCAAAGAAATGTGGCATAAATGATTTTTCTAGCGTGGAGAGGTGAATTGTTCAACATCAGCCAATGCAGCTGCCTTATTTCCAGGTGGAGCTCGTAGCGCTGACTTTGGTCCACGTTCAGAATTGTCACTCTTTGGGTAACGTCTCAGGTCCTACAGATAGCTCTGTAGAGGGGCAGACCATTCAGCCTGACCTCTGTTATCTTTCAGTGACAGGGAAGATGAACGCTCGTTTATTCAATGTCAACAACACGCTTTTAAACTGGACTAGTGTTTTCCCAGCCCTGTGTTTAACAGGGTGACAAAATGAGCGGAGATAAGGCCAGCGTGAGGCAGTCCAACTACTTTATTATTATTATTTTCTTTCCATCGGCTCCCCTGGAACCAGGCAGCAGCTCCCTAGCTCCCACCCAACGCTGGACCAAGGGTGCTTATTAATGGGTAGTGGAGCCATAAGCTTTTTAAAAGCCAGGAGTGGATGGGCTCCAACACTGGGCCCCCATTGACCCCAGAAGCCCCTGCACCGCAAAGCGAGAGATAAACCCCAGCGATGTGGAGACGTGGGGGTGATGTCCCAGGGCCAGCTTGGTGGCCAGGATCCTCTGGCACTGACAAGTGACAGATGGTGTGGGGAAGATCTCCTGGGATCTTGAGGTCCCGTTCTTGGCAGCCAGTCAGAACCTGGTGTCAGTATTTGAGGTAGGGAGGGCAGAGGTCTGGAAAGAAGGGTGTGACAAGGCCATGCCTGGGAGAGCACCTCTTGGCCCGTTGTGTGCTCTGTGAGAGTCCCGCGGTGGAAGATGGGGAGGCGGGCTCTGTGGGAGGAGGCAATCCTGGGCATTTCCTGCATATCTGCCTTCTTGTGTTTTGTGTGGTCTTTCTGGGTGTATTCAAAGAAAAATAGCATTTATTTCCTTTGTTGCTTCCTATGTTTCTGTTGAACTGCTTAAATAGTTCGTTCCCAGATGCTGAGTAAAAATAAAATAAATTCTTCTCTCTAAGGGATTGCCCTAGAACTAGGGAGTGGCAGACCTGGAGGGACCTTGGAAGAGATCTGCTCAGATGGGCTCTGTAGGCTGCTCAGGCTTGCCCACGGCCACGAGGACACAGCTAGGACTTGAATTTTAGTCTCCTAAACCCTGAGCTTTTGTCTTTCCTCTTCTCCTGCTAACAGTGGGTTTGTTATTTTTAAAAAGCTAATCAAGTTAGCTGACTCTTCTCCTTGTTTCAGAGAAAGGAGCTGGGCAGGAGGAAAGGGGAGGGCAGAAACTGGGAGGGGAGCAGGGAGATATGCTGTTTTGGGTGCACCACTCCAGGGAGGGAGCCCTGGTAGCATGGTAGTTAAGAGCCTGGCTGCTAACCAAAAGCTTGGCAGTTTGAATCCACCAGCCACTGTTTGTAAACCTTATGGGGCACTCCTACTCTGTCCTATAGGGTTGCTATTGACGAAACAATGGGTTTGGTTTACCCCAGGGAGGGTTGACTGACCAGTGGTGGTAACAGGGATTCCCCAGCACCATCTGGGGACTAGAATTATTTTTCTCCCCCCAATTTTTTTTTTTGTTTAATTTCAGTTGGAAAAGTTGTAGGAATGGTCCAGTACATCCTCACCCATACTCCCCAGTTGTTAATGTTTTGCCACAAATGCACCCACACTTTCTTTTTCTCCCTAATCACACATATATCTAAGTTTTGTATATGTAATATATATAATTTTATATATTATATATAATATATAACATAATTCATATAATGATTGCACAATTTATATATAAATATTTTTGTTGTTGAACCTTTGAGAACCGACAGATACTGAGATCCTTCACCCCTGAATACTCCTGCATGTGGCTGCTAAGAACAAGGACGTTCTCCTACGTAACCACAGTACCATTTCCAGATGTGGGAAACTTAACATTGACACAGTGCTATTATCCAATATACAGCCCATATTCAAATTACTGCTGCTGTCTCAGTGATGTCCTTTTTAGTTACAGGGTTACTTTTTTTTCTAGTTAGTTTTTCTTTTTTTTTAAATTGTTTTATTGTGGTAAAATAGATACAACAAAACATTTGCCAATTCAACGTTTTTTTTTTACAATGCTGTTCAGTGACATCGGTTACATTCATCATGTTGTACAACCATCATAGGGTCACTTTTTGAGGCCATAAACTTCTCGGGGCCCTCATCTCAGTGCATGTCTGAGAACTAGATCAATACTATTTAATGATGAACTGAGTATTCATGAATGTTCCCAAACTGTTACTCACCGTTTAAGCACATTTTAGAACTTCTTGACTTAAGACTACAGGCACCCCCAAGCAATAACACCCAAATCACAAACATCCTGTGGCTCAAAAGTCGACCACACGTCATCTCCATGCCCCTTCTGCCCTCTGAGTCCCCACCTCCAGCGCCAGGTTCCCTGGCTCCTTGGTGCTGCTTCACCTCATCTCTGTCTACCACCTCCGTTCTCCCCATCCCTGCCCCACCCAGG